CAGTTAGAAAAGTATTTACGCCATGCAAGCAATACAGCTGTGTTGCTTTTATTTTTGAAAAGGTTGCTGTTTTTTTTTCATTATGTTATAATTTATGATCAACCTCACACGGGCCGGCCAAGGCCGGCCAACGGGCCGGATGTGGCCCGCGGGCCGTAAAATGCCCACCCCTGCGCCTAGACAAATAGGGGAGGGAAGATGAAGCAGTAAAACCACCTGCAGATTTTGCTTTCAATTAGTGGAATAAATAGATCAAGTGATGCTAACAGGTTAGACATGTTTGCGTTTCAGATCTGTTTTAAAGTACAGGGTTATATCTCGGTCTTTTAATCCAGATCTAATCATTACAAATAACGAATAAGTCGTTTCTGGCTCCATTTCCACTTTCACATGCCTTCAAGTGTGCTAAAGTAGTAAAATAAAGTTTGCCATTTCCTCTGTTTTTTCCCTGCTTGATCAATAATTATCTATATTTACTCCAATAATGCTTATAATAATTCCTCTTGCTTTGATAAATATAACAACATATCATCAGTATTTTATCAACATATAACATTAGTTTCGGTCCCATTGCTTTCTGCTGCTGCTCATTACGACTATAATTGTGTCATTATCATTAAAGCTAAAAATGTGTGCAGGTGTGGTGGACCTTTGTTCAATGTGAATGACTGTGTCATTAGATGTGACTCTCATGGCAACGCTGCTGTTTCCACTAAATGCAGCCTGTTCTCTACTAACGTGGAGTTGACAATGCATCACAGATTTTAATTAACCACTGGAAAATCTTTGTTTGCATCAGTGATGCTGATCTAAACTAGTTCATATTGATACAACCTGGATCAAGTTGCCATAACAAAAGGGAAGACACCATATGGACTGATAAATGTGTACCAGATGAAACCAAATGAAATGTTTAACTTAAGTAATTACCGTATACGGAGTGTGCATATCAGTAAGGTCAGTAAGGTGTAATGTGCATGAGTGAAAAACAAAGAGCTTAGGCAAATTAATGAAACCAAATGAGAGAGAATCAAACTGTTTCCAAAGGTTACTGTTGCTCCGTTGTTTCCGCTAACTGAGGATAGCTTCAATTTCCAATTTGTTTTGTTTTGCCAAGTGGGTAATTCACTTTAAAGTAATTTGCATATACTTGTTTCCATCAGTGTCCAATTGCATTTATAAATTATCCTAACTTTCAGCAGTCAGCAGATTAAAGATAGGTCTTTAAAACTTTAAAGGTGAAAAAAGGTATAAACGTAATAAAATAAAATAAAAATATCAAACAGCAGCAAGTGTATATATACTTATCTACAGTAGAAAATTCAGGAAAAGTACAAGAAAAGCATCTTATCAATTGCGACTTGAAAAATTACCAATTTAACTTTTTCTACCTTTTTTATGCTTTTTACTGTGCATTACTGAAGGGACTCTGACTAACTGACTGATTGATTGATTGATTGATTGATTGATTGATTGATTGATTAATTGATTGATTTGCATTATGTAATATTATTTTAGCTTTGTATCTTGTTAATTCTGTTTTGTTAAATACCATGGATCATGTTTAACATTAGAATAATAACAAAACTCAGAAAAAAGCACTTATGTTTTAGGGTTTGATGATTTGTACTGAGTCAGCAAGGGTTTCATAATCTGGACAGTAACTATACCTTCAATAAGATTATCTTTCATGGTTGAATTGTATTTGGATTAATTAAACTGTATAAGGGAAAAGGCTCACCTAAATTAATTTTTCTGAGAAATGCAGACAAGATCAGGTCAACCACAAATGTGTCTTTTCCTTGCAGCTCTAAATTAAGCCTCAGTCATTAGTTGGTCAGATCTGAATAAATGGCCAAATCTACCAGCTCATGATTGTTATTCAGAGGGAAACTTAGCATTTTAGTGCAGAGGGGAAACTCTTTGTCTCAGGCATAAGCTCTTTTCCCGACTCTGCCGTCTGATATTGGTGTTTGGCAAGAGTTTTCCACATAGCACTTCTTGGTTTATCATGCAGTGATAGTTAAAGGTGGAGTGCAAGTGCACAAGAAAGAGAAAAGGCCATAGATGTATAGAGGAAAAAAGGTACATTAAATCTGGAGAGTAGAGTTTGTTTGGCTGTTAAAGGGGACCTATCATGCAAAATGCACTTTTGTACGTCTTTATACATGAATATGTGTCCCCGGTGTTCCAGGGAACTCACCAAGTGTCAGAAAACACAACCCTCTCTCTTTTCCTCCATACCCAAATCTCTAAAAACGGGGCTGCAACGGATCTGATACAGACTGATCCAGATTTGAACATTCCTCTGACGTCAGGACGGCGGAGCTGACCTATCAGGGGAATGAGAGGTTGCCGTGGCATGGTAACAGCATGGTAACACGACGCTCGTAACTCGGCCTCCTCCTTTGCAGGGGGGCATGGTCAGCTGCAGCGCATGCAAAGACAGGGTGGAGGAGAGCAAAATAGAGCGAAATGAGGCATGGCTAAAATGCATGATCTGTTTGGTATTTTGAAAAAGAAAACGTATAAATATACCTTAGGTATGGCCCTACAATATATTATTCAAATATAGCATGATAAGTCCACTTTAAATTCAGTTGTTGAGAAATAAATCCTCCACCTTGCATCAATAAAAGAAGCAGGCCCCTCAATATTTAGTACATGTGCATGTGTTCCTCCAAATAGAAACATGACATTTTACAGTACTTTTTATTTGAATAACTGCCTGAAGCGTGCAGTATACAACCCCAACATGTGACACGATACTCTTCCACAGTTGTCATTAAAGCCAACTTTTCGTGTGTGTTTGTTTGACCTAAAATGTAAGGAGACATGCCTCATTTGTTCCGTGCATGTTACCTATTGTAATGTCATACGCAGCTAATACGTCATCAGGAAGTTAATTAGCAACAGTGAAAACTAACCTTTTGATGTATCATGCCAGAAAAATGAAATTGAAACAGTGCAGTAAATAACCCCACCCTCTGCCAACTCTTTAAAACCAGCACAGTCTGAAACCAGTCAGTCATTCATCAGATACAGTTGAGATACAGTACATGCTTCCTTCACCTTGTGTTCGTGAGTATCTCTTTTATTCTGATTTTATCAAACCACATGTTTACTTCTTTCTTAGTTGCTATGTATATATTTCTTTACCTGCTCAATTTTTTAAAACATTTATTGCAAATATTTGTTGTACATGTTTTGATTTTGCATGTTATACCAAGTATTTACGTGTTTTATTAACCCAACCGCAGTTTGTTATCATTGCTTTATGTCGCTGAATTTACCTATTTTTTTGTCAATTATCTTTACTCACAAGTTATACTGTATAATGAAGAAATGTGACTTAAAGGTGGGGTAGGTAAGTTTGAGAAACCGGCTCGAGATACACTTTTTGTTATATTCCATGGAATGCTCTTAACATCCGATAGCAATGAATATCTTAAGTGCTTTGACAAAAAATCCATTAAAAAATGTCATCTGTGGAAGCCGTAATACTGTAAAAAGCACGACCAATCATTTTAGCCGGCCCGGCTAAAATAACTGGATGGCCTACCTGCCTGTCAGCCTTCCATCTGTGCACAGACTTATCTCGTGCCCTCATTGGTCATGTGCGCGTTCCTGTGTGTTGGAGGAGGGGCTCTGTAAGGAAGTGGCAGATTTTTTCGGTTGTGTATTTTCAAATTCTAGCGATCTCGAGCTGGTTTCTCCAAAATTACCTACCCCACCTTTAATTCAGACGTGACATTAATGATATTGACTCTCTTACTGTATATGGGGTTTGAGGTTAACTTTAAAATCTCCTTATAGTGATATTTAATTACACTTTAAATGGCAACAGATTGTTTTTTGGTTTTAAAGTACACAAACAAACAGTTTTTAGTCAATAAGACAGGTTGGCTTGAAAAATGAAATAATTTATGTTACTCTGTATTTCCTGCAGCAGACACACACAATTGTTTGAAGAAAGGATTTTGTCCTTGACAAAATATATAGTTTAGTTATTAAACTGCACAGGTCTGCCAATTTAAATTCTGATTTACTGCAGATACATTTTTATTTTTTATTATTAGAGTAAATTGTTATTTTTATTATTGTACTTACATTTTTGCATATTTATATTTCTTTAATTGTATAAAAATGTTTAATATCCTGTTGTGTTGGGTTTAATCTGACAAATGTACTACTTTCATCAATCATACATATTGTGTTTTACATTTGATTGCCTCAAGGCCTTATATCCTCCACAGTAGGCTTATGAACATACAGCTATTTATATGTATGGGTTTGAGGAAAATAAAATAACGTTTAATCATATAAACTACTGACAACATTTCTCTCTGTTGGAATTCAACAGAAACTGAATGGAATGGCTGCCATGCATGTAGAGATAGAGATTTAAGAAACATTTGGAGTGGTCTCTTGATTTTTTCTAGAGCTGTATTAAATAACTGATCACCACTTTCATTGAATTTTGAGTGGTTTGGTCCACTTTGTAACACCTATGGTGCTTCTGGTAAAAAAATGAATGGAAAAGAATAGGTAACCCTAGATTATGTTCATCCAACAGAGTACACACCCAAATCGACAATCGTGTTTATTTTGCAATACATTTTCAGTGTCTATTCTTTGTATATTCACTGCAGTTATTAACCAGTATCCTGAGACATTTGACTTAAAATGGTGTTAAATACAATTTGATGATGATAAATGGTGTTCATGTTAATGTAGAGCAGTTAAAACAGACCGGTCAAATTTGACTGTGAACTCCAAAGGTAAGGGGGGTGGAACAAACACGAAAGTAGGGTTGGAATAGTTACAGATTTGTTCCTTTTTTTTCTAAATACTTACCTACTTAAATCTTCTTTTTGTGTTTGTGTATTCACCATATACACCAAAGCATATTTATAGTTTGTTCAACAGTGAGGATTTGTTTGAACATGGCTGTATATTAAAACACATTTCGTTCTATTTCTTTTCTACATAGTGACACCATGTGCAAAGTCACTCTAACTGCAGGTAAGGCATTGTCAAGTAACTTTTTACTCAAAAGGGGCAGTGAATTTAAGTTGGTTTGCTGTGTTTACAGCAAATCATCTTATTCAGAAAAGGCACTGGCAACTCTTTTCAGAAACATTGTCATCATTACTTTGGATTATTCTCACAAAACCCACAAGTTGATCCAGAACACATATTGATGTAATTCCATTTACCTTAACTGAATTTAGCTGTTGAATGATAAGAGTGTAACCTTGACAAAGAAAATGTTAAGCACAAGATTAGAAGAGTGGGAATTTTTTGTATTATATGTTTTTATTTGGATCAACTCCAATACTTACCTTTCTATCCTTTTGAAGGTCTCTTTTTGATCATCACCAGCTTGGGTAAGTTTATAACATGCATTTTGTATAATCAATCCTAGAAGTAATGGTAGCAATGAAGATAAATAATGTACCTCAACTAACAACTCTTGGTCAAGTAAACTGACATACTTGATGTTCTTCTGTCTCTCAGCCTCTTCCTCCAGGCTGGTGTGTTACTATAACAGCGAGGCTGAAAATAGAGCGGACTACGGGAAGTTCACAATTTCAGATATTGATCCGAACAAGTGTACCCATCTGATCTATGCTTTTGCCGACATCGACAACCAAAATGAACTGGTCCCAAGCAGTGCGACTGACATACAACGCTATCAGTCCTTTAATGGACTCAAAACCAGGTCCGTTTTTTAGCATTTAAATATTGTGTTAATGTTGAATTTTGTGTTTGTAATCAATTATTACTGGACTTTTATTTTCACACAGAAATCCAGCGCTCAAAACCCTGTTGGCAGTTGGTGGCTTGACCTTTGACACACAAAAGTAAGTTACTTTCTTGGTTTTTCTGTGACAATGCAAATAAAATTATTAGCAGCTCTTGAATTTCCCCATTCATGATGTATTGGTGTGCTTACATTTATTTTAGCAATTACATAATAATCCAAATAAACACTTGAAATTAGTTCAACAGCTATATTTATGATTTCTTTAATTGACATTAGCTTTAAAAAACCACTGTGGTTCAACTGTTTACCAGATTTACTGCAATGGTGGCCACAACACAAAACAGAGAAACGTTCATCCAGTCTGCTATTAAACTACTGAGAGAAAGTGGGTTTGATGGCCTAAACCTTGACTGGAGGAACCCTGGAGAAGCTGGAAGCCCATCACAGGACAAGCAGAGTTTCACAATGCTTTGCAAGGTCAGATCTTGAGTTTCTCTCACTACATAGGTATATGAAAATATCAGTTTGTTATCTAAACCGAGACTGAACCATTCTTCTTGTATAGGAGCTCAAGGAAGCATTTGTGTCTGAAGGGAAAGCAGCCAACCGTGACAGCTTAATCGTCGCTGCTAGTGTCTCTGCTGAGAAAGCAACCATCGATGCCAGTTATCAAGTCCCACAGATTGCCATGTAAAAAATAAATATATGTATCTCTTTGCATTATACCCAAGATGACCTATTTTCTTGTTTTTCTGAATGTGATCTCTTCTTCTCTTTATCAGGCACCTGGATTTCATTAATGTGTTGACATTTGATTTTCACGGCCCCTGGGAAAGTGTCACAGGACATCACAGCCCCTTATACAACGGATCCCACGACACAGGAAACAAAACTTACTCTAACACTGTAAGTACAGGGATTCATACGTACGCTGCAAAAAAAAAGTTATTTTAAGAGACGCTTTCTCATTGTATTTTGTTATTTTAATCCACATTTTAGGACTATGCTATGCGGTATTGGCGAGACCAGGGAGCACCAGCACAAAAGCTAAACTTGGGGTTAGCGGCATACGGGAGAGCTTTTGACCTCTCCACTGCCTCCAGTGATGTTGGAGCACCAGCGAATGGTCCTGGTGAAGAAGGATGTTACACTGGGGAAGAGGGATTCTGGGCTGCTTATGAGGTAAATTGCAACCTGTGAATGAAATACATTTAAATCAATCACTTTATTATAGCCTAACATATTCGACAGTATTTGGTGTGACACATTTCTGATTGAAAAATACATTGTGACATTTGATCCTTCTGTACAGACTTGCCTTTATCTTGATGGAGTTACAACCGAGCTGATACCTGATCAGAAAGTTCCATATGCCACCACAGAAAATCAGTGGGTTGGATTTGACAATGAAGACAGCCTCGATATTAAGGTAGGCAAAATACTGCAGTTAATCCTTTGAAAACGACTGCTTGTGCTCAAATCTGGTTAAAGGTCCCCTGTTATACTCTTTTCAACAATATGTTCGAAATATTCTGTTATATTCAAAACTTTTTTAGTCTGATGCTTCGATTAATTTTAAACAGACCGTTCAACAAAAGGATACCCACAAATGTAGTTTCATTTAAATATTGGATTGTTCTCTCTTAGTAAGAAACCATTTTCAATAAAATGGTGGTCTTACCTTTACTTGAAGATGAGGTCCATGCGCCTATCCTTCTGGACAAAAATCTCTTACTTTTTTATAAAAGTCCTCCTTATCTTCTTGTAGTTTCAAAAGTTTAGCTTGTTGTTTGCGTCTACCGTCTGTAGAATAACAGTAGCAACTAAAACCTGTGGGCTCACGTACGCCCCCTTCAGTGCGGCAGAGTACTGTCTGCCTCACCTTGTGTCTTTTTACTGTGCTTTTATGTCACATCAGCAAGACTAAATATGTTACACAGTGACACACATACATACATTACACACATTAGCTAGGCTATGGAAAGTCAGTACGCATAGTAAAGTCTCTGTAAACATTATATTGGCGACATACAGAGTGATAGCAACAGGCACGCGCCAAATGCACACGCTCAACCTAGTTTGCGAGGGATTGCGCAATCCGAGGTGAGGCTCAGCTCGTCGCTGCCTCAGCTCGCATCTCTCACCGTATACTGTAGGAACAGAAAATACGCCATTTCATCGATATTTACTATAAAATTGATCGAAATGATTGGAATCATACAGAAAATACATTTATAGCACAGACCAGTGGAGAAATATTAATATTTATTTCATTTTATTGTTATTTGTATTTTTACTTTTCATGAAGACAGGTGAGGCACTGCCTCACCTGCCTCCCCTGACCGCACGTCCCTGCTTTAAATAGACATTTTGTCTGCATGGCATCAACCCTTAAAGTGTTTTTTCTTCATCCTCCCAGGTCAGTTACCTAAAGATGAACAACTTTGGAGGAGCATTTCTTTGGTCTCTCGACCTGGATGATATGAATGGAGAGTTCTGCAGAATGGGCAGCAATCCCCTCATCAGCCATCTGTATAATCTCCTGGTTCCAGGTAATTAGAACACAAAAAATGTCTTTACATCCTTTAAGAAGGGAAGGTTTAACGTTTTTTTTTAATTAAATGCCATTAACTGTATTGTCATAATAACTTATTTACATTAATATAATTCAATATGAAGAAAGCAAATGAGCTCCCTTTTAATCTCAAAGGTCATGCTATGTAATATCAAAATATGATGGGATGTTAACGTGGGGTAAAAACAATAACACAATAAATGATAAAACAAAATATTTTTGGGTCCTTTCTTCTAAAACTCCAGCAACAACCGATAACACAACTACTCTCAACCCCCCTCATACTACTATGACAATGCCGACAACAACTCCACCTGCCACCAAAACAGTGCCTATGACAAAGACCACCCCACATACACCCACAACAATGCCGAAGACCTCAACAACTCTCCCTACTATGAACAAAACAATGCAGACAACCACAAGAAATGTCCCTACAATCATAAGAAATGTCCCTACAACCACAACTCTCCCTACCACAACCACAACAATGCCAACGACACCAACAACTGTCGATACAACTACAACAATGAGCACATCAACAAAACTAAACCTTGCTGTATCAACAATGCCACCTAACACAACTACACCACTGCCTACAACCATAACTCGTCCTACCACAACCAAAACAATGCCTACGACCAAAGCAACTTCCCTTACTAAAACCACAGCAATTCCTACGACCGCAACTCTACCTACCACAACCACAGAATCGCATACGACCACAATGCCTACGACCACAATTCTACCTACCACAACCACAACAATGCCTACGACCACAACTCCATCTACCACAACCACATCAATGCCTACGACCACAACTCTACATACCACAACCACAGCATTGCCTACGACCACAATTCTACTTACCACAACCAAAGCATTGCCTACGACCAAAATTCTACCTACCAAAACCACGACAATGCCTACGACCACAACTCCCTCTACCACAACCGCATCAATGCCTACGACCACAACTCTCCCTACCACAACCACATCAATGCCTACGACCACAAATCTACCTACCACAACCACAAAAATGCCGACCACCACAACTCTACCTACCACAACCACAGCATTGCCAACGACCACAATTTTACCGACCACAACCACAAAAATGCCGACCACCACAACTCTACCTACCACAACCACAGCATTGCCTACGACCACAATTCTACCTACCACAACCACAAAAATGCCTACGACCACAACTTTGCCTACCACAACCACAGCATTGCCTACGACCACTATTCTACCTACCACAACCACAACAATGGCTATGACCACAACTCCCTCTACCACAACCACATCAATGTCTACGACCACAACTCTACCTACCACAACCACAGCATTGCCTACGACCACAACTCTACCTACCACAACCACAACAATGCCTACGACCACAACTCCCTCTACCACAACCATATCAATGCCTACGACAACAACTCTACCTACCACCACCACAGCATTGCCTACGACCACAATTCTACCTACCACACCAATGCCGACCACCACTACTCTACCTACCACAACCACAACAATGCCTACGAGTACAAATCCCTCTGCCACAACCACATCAATGCCTACGACCACAATTCTACCTACCACGACCACAACAATGCCTATGACCACAACTCCATCTACTACAACCACATCAATGCCTACGACCACAAATCTACCTACCACAACCACGGCATTGCCTACGACCACAACTCTACGTACCACAACCACAACAATGCCTACGACCACAACTCCCTCTACCACAACCACATCAATGCCTACGACCACAACTCTACCTACCACAACCACAGCATTGCCTACGACCACGATTCTACCTACCACAACAATGCCTAAGACCACAACTCCCTCTACCACAACCACATCAATGCCTACGACCACAACTCTACCTACCACAACCACAACAATGCCTACGACCACAACTCCCTCCATCACAACCACATCAATGCATATGACCACAACTCTACCTACCACAACCACAGCATTGCCTACGACCACAATTCTACCTACCACAACCACAACAATGCCTACGACCACAACTCCCTCTACCACAACCACAACAATGCCTACGACCACAATTCCCTCTACCACAACCACATCAATGCCTACGACCACAACTCTACCTACCACAAACCACAGCATTGCCTACGACCACAATTATACCTACCACAACCACAACAATGCCTACGACCACAACTGTACCTACCACAACCACAACAATGCTTACGACCACAACTCCCTCTACGACAACCACATCAATGCCTACGACCACAACTCTACCTACTACAACCAGAGCATTGCCTACGAGCACAATTCTACCTACCACAACAATGCCGACCACCACAACTCTACCTACCACAACCACAGCATTGCCTACGACCACAATTCTACCTGCCACAACCACAACAATGCCTACGACCACAACTCTACCTTCAACAACCACAGCATTGCCTACGACCACAATTCTACCTACCACAACCACAACAATGCCGACCACCACAACTCTACATACCACAACCACAACAATGCCTACGACCACAACTCCAACTACCACAACCAAATCAATGCCTACGACCACAACTCTACCTACCACAACCACAATAATGCCGACCACCACAACTCTACCTACCACAACCACAACAATGCCTACGACCACAACTCCCTCTACCACAACCACATCTATTCCTACGACCACAACTCTACCTACCACAACCACAGCATTGCCTACGACCACAATTCTACCTACCACAACCACATCAATGCCTATGACCACAACTCTACCTACCACAACCACAACAATGCCGACAACCATAATTCCACCTACCACAACCACAACAATGCCGACCACCACAACGCTACCTACCACAACAACGGAAATGCCTACAACCACAACTCTACCCACCACAACCACAACAATGCCTACGACCACAACTCCAACTACCACAACCACAGCATTGCCTACGACCACAATTATACCTACCACAACCACAACAATGCCTACGACCACAACTGTACCTACCACAACCACAACAATGCTTACGACCACAACTCCCTCTACGACAACCACAGCATTGCCTACGACCACAATTCTACCTACCACAACCACAACAATGCCGACCACCACAACTCTACCTACCACAACAACGGAAATGCCTACAACCACAACTCTACCCACCACAACCACAACAATGCCTACGACCACAACTCCAACTACCACAACCACAGCATTGCCTACGACCACAATTATACCTACCACAACCACAACAATGCCAACGACCACAACTCTACCTACCACAACCACAACAATGCCTACGAGTACAAATCCCTCTGCCACAACCACATCAATGCCTACGACCACAATTCTACCTACCACGACCACAACAATGCCTATGACCACAACTCCATCTACTACAACCACATCAATGCCTACGACCACAAATCTACCTACCACAACCACGGCATTGCCTACGACCACAACTCTACGTACCACAACCACAACAATGCCTACGACCACAACTCCCTCTACCACAACCACATCAATGCCTACGACCACAACTCTACCTACCACAACCACAGCATTGCCTACGACCACGATTCTACCTACCACAACAATGCCTAAGACCACAACTCCCTCTACCACAACCACATCAATGCCTACGACCACAACTCTACCTACCACAACCACAACAATGCCTACGACCACAACTCCCTCCATCACAACCACATCAATGCATATGACCACAACTCTACCTACCACAACCACAGCATTGCCTACGACCACAATTCTACCTACCACAACCACAACAATGCCTACGACCACAACTCCCTCTACCACAACCACAACAATGCCTACGACCACAACTCCCTCTACCACAACCACATCAATGCCTACGACCACAACTCTACCTACCACAACCACAGCATTGCCTACGACCACAATTATACCTACCACAACCACAACAATGCCTACGACCACAACTGTACCTACCACAACCACAACAATGCTTACGACCACAACTCCCTCTACGACAACCACATCAATGCCTACGACCACAACTCTACCTACTACAACCAGAGCATTGCCTACGAGCACAATTCTACCTACCACAACAATGCCGACCACCACAACTCTACCTACCACAACCACAGCATTGCCTACGACCACAATTCTACCTGCCACAACCACAACAATGCCTACGACCACAATTCTACCTTCAACAACCACAGCATTGCCTACGACCACAATTCTACCTACCACAACCACAACAATGCCGACCACCACAACTCTACATACCACAACCACAACAATGCCTACGACCACAACTCCAACTACCACAACCAAATCAATGCCTACGACCACAACTCTACCTACCACAACCACAATAATGCCGACCACCACAACTCTACCTACCACAACCACAACAATGCCTACGACCACAACTCCCTCTACCACAACCACATCTATTCCTACGACCACAACTCTACCTACCACAACCACAGCATTGCCTACGACCACAATTCTACCTACCACAACCACATCAATGCCTATGACCACAACTCTACCTACCACAACCACAACAATGCCGACAACCACAATTCCACCTACCACAACCACAACAATGCCGACCACCACAACGCTACCTACCACAACAACGGAAATGCCTACAACCACAACTCTACCCACCACAACCACAACAATGCCTACGACCACAACTCCAACTACCACAACCACAGCATTGCCTACGACCACAATTATACCTACCACAACCACAACAATGCCTACGACCACAACTGTACCTACCACAACCACAACAATGCTTACGACCACAACTCCCTCTACGACAACCACAGCATTGCCTACGACCACAATTCTACCTACCACAACCACAACAATGCCGACCACCACAACTCTACCTACCACAACAACGGAAATGCCTACAACCACAACTCTACCCACCACAACCACAACAATGCCTACGACCACAACTCCAACTACCACAACCACAGCATTGCCTACGACCACAATTATACCTACCACAACCACAACAATGCCAACGACCACAACTCTACCTACCACAACCACATCAATGCCTATGACCACAACTCTACCTACCACAACCACAACAATGCCGACAACCACAATTCCACCTACCACAACCACAACAATGCCGACCACCACAACGCTACCTACCACAACAACGGAAATGCCTACAACCACAACTCTACCCACCACAACCACAACAATGCCTACGACCACAACTCCAACTACCACAACCACAGCATTGCCTACGACCACAATTATACCTACCACAACCACAACAATGCCAACGACCACAACTCTACCTACCACAACCACATCAATGCCTATGACCACAACTCTACCTACCACAACCACAACAATGCCGACAACCACAATTCCACCTACCACAACCACAACAATGCCGACCACCACAACGCTACCTACCACAACCACAACAATGCCTACGACCACAACTCCAACTACCACAACCACAACAATGCCTACGACCACAACTCCCTCTACCACAACCACATCAATGCCTACGACCACAACTCTACCTACCACAACCACAGCATTGCCGACCACCACGACTCTACCTACCACAACAACGGAAATGCCTACAACCACAACTCTACCTACCACAACCACAACAATGCCTACGACCACAATTCCATCTACCACAACCACAACAATGCCTACGACCACAACTCCCTCTACCACAACCACATCAATGCCTACGACCACAACTCTACCTACCACAACCACAACAATGCCTACGAGCACAACTCCCTCTACCACAACCACATCAATGCCTACGACCACAACTCTACCTACCACAACCACATCATTGCCTACGACCACAATTCTACCTACCACAACCACAACAATGCAGACCACCACAACTCTACCTACCACAACAATGGAAATGCCTACAACCACAACTCTACCTACCACCACGACAGCATTGCCTACGACCACAATTCTACCTACCACAACCACAACAATGCCGACCACCACAAATCTACCTACCACAACCACGGCATTGCCTACGACCAAAACTCTACGTACCACAACCACAACAATGCCTACGACCACAACTCCCTCTACCACAACCACATCAATGCCTACGACCACAACTCTACCTACCACAACCACAGCATTGCCTACGATCACAATTCTACCTACCACAACCACAACAATGCCTAAGACCACAACTCCTTCTACCACAACCACATCAATGCCTACGACCACAACTCTACCTACCACAACCACAACAATGCCTACGACCACAACTCCCTCCATCACAACCACATCAATGCATATGACCACAACTCTACCTACCACAACCACAGCATTGCCTACGACCACAATTCTACCTACCACAACCACAACAATGCCTACGACCACAACTCCCTCTACCACAACCATAACAATGCCTACGACCACAACTCCCTCTACCACAACCACATCAATGCCTACGACCACAACTCTACCTACCACAACCACAGCAATGCCTACGACCACAATTATACCTACCACAACCACAACAATGCCTACGACCACAACTGTACCTACCACAACCACAACAATGCTTACGACCACAACTCCCTCTACGACAACCACATCAATGCCAACGACCACAACTCTACCTACCACAACCACATCAATGCCTATGACCACAACTCTACCTACCACAACCACAACAATGCCGACAACCACAATTCCACCTACCACAACCACAAAAATGCCGACCACCACAACGCTACCTACCACAACAACGGAAATGCCTACAACCACAACTCTACCCACCACAACCACAACAATGCCTACGACCACAACTCCAACTACCACAACCACATCAATGCCTACGACCACAATTCTACCTACCACAACCACAACAATGCCGACCACCACGACTCTACCTACCACAACAACGGAAATGCCTACAACCACAACTCTACCTACCACAACCACAACAATGCCTACGACCACAATTCCATCTACCACAACCACAACAATGCCTACGACCACAACTCCCTCTAACACAACCACATCAATGCCTACTACCACAACTCTACCTACCACAACCACAGCATTGCCGACCACCACGACTCTACCTACCACAACAACGGAAATGCCTACAACCACAACTCTACCTACCACAACCACAACAATGCCTACGACCACAATTCCATTTACCACAACCACAACAATGCCTACGACCACAACTCCCTCTACCACAACCACATCAATGCCTACGACCACAACTCTACCTACCACAACCACAACAATGCCTACGACCACAACTCCCTCTACCACAACCACATCAATGCCTACGACCACAACTGTACCTACCACAACCACATCATTGCCTACGACCACAATTCTACCTACCACAACCACAACAATGCCGACCACCACAACTCTACCTACCACAACAATGGAAATGCCTACAACCACAACTCTACCTACCACCACGACAGCATTGCCTACGACCACAATTCTACCTACCACAACCACAACAATGCCGACCACCACGACTCTACCTACCACAACAATGGAAATGCCTACAACCACAACTCTACCTACCACAACCACAACAATGCCTACGACCACAATTCCACCTACCACAACCACAACAATGCCTACGACCACAACTCCCTCTACCACAACCACATCAATGCCTACGACCACAACTCTACCTACCACAAACACAGCATTGCCGACCACCACAACTCTACCTACCACAACCACAACAATGCCTACGACCACAACTCCCTCTACCACAACCACAACAATGCCTACGACCACAATTCCACCTACCACAACCACAACAATGCCTACGACCACAACTCCCTCTACCACAACCACATCAATGCCTACGACCACAACTCTACCTACCACAACCACAGTATTGCCAACCACCACAACTCTACCTACCACAACCACAACAATGCCGACCACCACAACTCCCTCTACCACAACCACAGCATTGCCTACGACCACAATTCTACCTACCACAACCACAACATTGCTGACCACCACAACTGTACCTACCACAACCACAACAATGCCTACGACCACAACTCCCTCTACGACAATCACATCAATACCTACGACCACAATTCTACCTACCACAACCAGAGCATTGCCTACGACCACAATTCTACCTACCACAACCACAACAATGCCGACCACCACAACTCTACCTATCACAACCACAACAATGCCTACGACCACAACTCCCTCTACCACAACCACATCTATGCCTACGACCACAACTCTACCTACCACAACCACAGCATTGCCTACGACCACAATTCTACCTACCACAACCACAACAATGCCGACCACCACAACTCTATCTACCACAACCACAACAATGCCTACGACCACAACTCCCTCTACCACAACCACAGCATTGCCTACGACCACAATTCTACCTACCACAACCACGACAATGCCGACCACCACAACTCTACCTACCACAACAACGGAAATGCCTACAACCACAATTCTACCTTCCACAGCCACAACATTGCCTACGACCACAATTCTACCTACCACAACCACAGCATTGTCTACGACCACAACTACACCCTCTTCGACTTCTATTCTTAACTTTGATATAACACGCTGTCAAGGAAAGAAAGGGAAGAGATTCAAATATAAAGAGGACCCCTCTAAATTTATTGAATGTGTCGACGGGGGAGCCGAACTAAAGGATTGCCCCACTGGTACAGATAAAGCTAACACAATGTGTGATTAAATAATACATCCTCTGCCAAAGCTGCACTTTTCAGTTATATGTGGCAAAATAGTCAATTATGGTTTTTGCTTGTTTATTTTTTTGCTGTCCCTAATATATTCAAAAATATAATCTCGACACCAAACCTTAATGCATTTGGTCAGAGACACTTTTATAAATGTACCCCTGCATGTTAAGCTTAGCAATGTCCTCCCTCCATTAATATAAAATATTATCTTTTATCTTTATTTATAATTAAAGGGGACCTATCATACAAAATGCACTTTGTGATGTCTTTTATACATGAATATGTGCGTCGGGGAACTCACGCAGCGTCAGAAAATAAAACCCTCTCTCTTTTCCTCCATACCCAAATCTTTTAAAAACAGGGGTACAACGAGCAGATACAGATTTCAGAAACAATGCCTGACGTGTTTTGGACGTAATCTCGTCTTTGTTTACATTAGCAAGCCTCGCTAACACTCAGAGCTAACCTGTACTGTAGAGCACATGTGTTTAAAAAGCAGGAAATAAAAAAAGGAACTCACCTTGTGATAAACCCGCAAGAGAAAAAGCATTTGAGCTCCATACTGTTTCAGAAATAATCTTTGATGTGGTTTAGAACAGGATGGCGTTTTATCACAGCAGAATTTAACTTTATCTCCGGTAGAATTCTGATCAGGCATTAGCTCTGTCTCCTCTTCTTTCTTTTTTTCAAGCTAAGGAACCAAAATCTGCGTTTCTCTAACAGGGCTGCAAAAGAGGGGTATGAGCAGTATGAGGCATGGCTACAATGGGTGAACTGTTTGGTATTTTAAGCAAAAAACTTCACAGACATGTTTTGTATAGGTATGGCCCTACAATATATTTTTCCAATATAGCATGATAGGTCCACTTTAAGTAATCAGCAACTTCCAGTCTATATAAACCATCCTGATCTTGTTTTTTTTTATGGCATCTATTAATCTGTTATACTTTACTTAACTCTCACCCTACCAACACATTTAACACGTACAGAACAAGGACTACTGACTTCAATAATATCTACTGTAAGAAACAACCATCATCTCCAAACTTATATGTTCTTTACATTTGATAAGAGATGTCATTTATGTCTTAGAAAGAGATAATGTGTGTTTGCTGCATCTATTTGTTTGTCTTCTTAAAAATGATTAATCAACTGATCATTTCCATGGAATCCTGCATTGAATGCAATTGGGGACTTTTGACAAAGCTACTCTGAGTCAAAAGTATATATATTGGGTTTGTGGATACCCCAGTTGGTAGAATGTTGGTTAATCTAATGCATATAAACAGTTGCATGGATGAGTTTTTTTTATTTAATTTATTTAGCCATTGCATGAATGAGTTTGTTTTACATAATGACACAGTTGTTGCATATTGTTTATATTTACTCTTATACCTACAATTAATGCAAATACATATGACTACATTTATCATTTAATAAAATGTATAATTAAAGTAAAATATTGCCAAGATGTATTTTGCCCATTCTGTTTAATTTTGTTTTTTGCTTGGTTGTTAAATGGTGTTTGTTTATCTATCAGCCATTTATTAAATGAAGTGGTCCTGTAGAAACAAGTGGCATAACTTGCACTCATGAAAGCTATTAAAACAAAGATGGAGCAGAACTTGTTAAGTCAAACATTGCTTGACATCAGAGCCACCTACTGAATCAAACTACTCTGCAATGTAACACAACCTTATAGTGGGTTTAAATCAATTGTGAAAAGACCTGTCCTGAGACAAGGGTTGATGTTTTTCATTCATTTTTCTTTCCTACATTTGTTGGGCCCATAATGTAAAAATGCTTATACAGCTATTTTGAGAGAAATAAAACCACAGTTTATGTTGAATACTACAAGACCAATCAACCATACATGCTCATTATGACTGCATGCTCAAAAACTATAATATTGAGTTTCTATTCTAATAATAATAATAATAATGCATTTTATTTATAGAGCGCTTTTCTTGAAACTCAAATACACTTTACAGAATAAAAAATCATAAAAACATAATTAGAAAAACACACTTAAAATATATAAAACACAACATTAATTACAGATTAAAGGCAGTTCTGAAGAGTCTATTTTAATTTGTGATTTGAACATGGTGAGATTGGGGCAGTCACGGATGTGTTTGGGGACGGAGAAGGCTCATATCAGTTGTTGATATTGATGAATTGCTGTCGATTTGTGAGGTATGACTGTAGCCAGGAGAGTGGCATGGTGTGGTTGATGGTGTCGAAAGCTGCTGTTAGGTCGAGAAGGATGAGGATGCTGAGGTGTCCAGAGTCAGAGGCGAGAAGGAGATCGTTGGTGATTTTGAGAAGGGCTGTTTCTGTGCTGTGTTGTGAGCGGAAGCCGGATTGAAATGGTTCGAACAGGTCGTTGGAGTTGAGGTGGGCCTTGAGTTGGATGGAGACTACACGTTCTAGTATTTTAGACATAAAGGGCAGATAGGATATGGGCCAGAAGTTGATTCTGACATCTGTTCCGTCAGAACTACACACATAGCTGAGCACATCATCAGTTGTTTTTTGTTTTTTTTATGCAATCTTTTGTTTTTTCAATGAACCAATTATTTGGTATATTACTTGGAATATAATGGATGGATGGATGGACCGACGGACGGATGGATGATGACGATAAGTAAAGACGTTTTTAAATGTGTGTCTTGTGTTTTAAATTCAGATTTTTCAGAGCTATGCTATCCTATGCTAAGGTCTTACCTACCTTACATTGACATGAAACTGCACTTTGGCAATAATTTGATGCCACATTTCTTAAATGCAACAGACCTCAATTTGTTATATTACAGCAGTTGCCAGTCTGTGTGTGTGTCAATTATGTCAAGTGCAAACAGAACTTTTTTTGTCTTTATTAAAATACTACTGTATATAAATACTTGTACATGCTACAGAAGGGAAATAGGGAGCCAGAGAATTCTCCTCTTTTTCTCTTTTTCCCTCTTTTTTCTTCCTTTTTCTTCTTCCCCCTTCTTCCCCCTTCTTCCCCCTTGCAAGACTATTGTTCCCCAGCTTCGGTTTCATCCCAAAGGCCATAAGAATGTTAAACACCTGAACTTTTGAAAGAACATACATAACATGCATCTGTTTGCAACTCACATATATCATATATATCAATATTCCAATTACTGTAAATAGACTATTCTGCACAGTTTCTATCATATTCTGTTTCTATTATATTTCATTTCATTTTATTTACTTTTACTATTTTATCTGTTTTATTGTGTTGCACTGTTGGAGGAGCCTGTGACCTACGATTTTCATTGTCATAACTACACTGTAGGTATGCACACATGACAATAACAGGTGTGCTGAGTTTGTTTGATTAGTCACCTGAAGGTGAGAGGCGGAGGTTAGGCTGCTTTTACACGGGAACGTTTGCGTTTATGCACAGTATGCGTTTTCAAAAAAGTCTTCCGTTCACATGCATTCGTTTCATTTAACGTGTCTGTTCAAACGAGACCGTGGAAACGCTGTAGTACATATGCCGGGACTGTAAGTTGCGCTGTACTTCCACACGAGACCGCTCGAAAGCGCTGGACACGCTGTAGTACATATGCCGGGACTGTAAGTGGCGCTGTAACTTCCGCCACAAAATACACCAAAAGCAGCGAAGAAGACCCCGGAGCAGCCGAGAAGAAGTACCCCTCAATGCAGTGCGCAATGCCTCAAATGAGCTCAATAGCCGCGTTCACACCGGAGTACTTTTCACCGTACTTTTCGCGTTTAGTTCCGTTAGTACCCCTTATGTCGCGTTCACACCAAAAAGAGTACTTAATCTCGGGAACTTTTACCCCCATTTTTAGTGCCCGCTGAGAGATCGTACTTTCCTGTGGGAAAAAAGTGCCCCAGTGCTGATTGGCTGGGCGAATTGCAAACCACGCCCCGTACAACTGTGAAATGTTGTGTAGAGCCGCCATTGTTTTTCCTCGCTACAAAAACCCAGCGCACCGACGGAGAGTAGTTTGTTTTTGAAAGCAGTTATGGCAAGCATCAAGAAATCATCGGAGCGGAGCAGTTCAGTAGCTTTCACTCGACCTGGGAATCGTGCACAGCGCCACGGCATACCGGCTAAAAATAAAGAAACTCAGGCAGGACTACAAACAAATTAAAGACTATTATAACAAGAGTGGTAACGACTGGAAGACCAGTAAATGGTACGAGCGCTTGTATGCTCTGCTAGGCCACAGACCTTTTCTCCCGGACAGCATCGACCGATGGTGTGGGAGGCCGCTCAAACGGCGGATTCAGTGGCCAACGATGACGACCACGACGAAGGTAAAATCAACTACATGCACTGGGGTTTTAATCTGCACAATAATGGTCTCAGATGTACTTTTATTTGCTCAGTAGATCAAGCTAGCCATGCTAGGCTGAACTGGCTAACACCGACCCCGAGCTAGCTAATAACATCTAGCTAGCTAGATATTCTCGGCCGCTATGAAAACGTTTTGACTTGTGAATAACTGTGCAGTGTTTCTGTAATTTGCTTCACTAACTCATGGCACTAATCGTGTGTTTCAGGCGAGGATGGACAACTCTCGGGATTGGAAACAAGCGAGCTTTGCCTTCCAGATCACAGCGCTTGGTCGTCCCCCTTACCAGCAACCAAACGCAAAGGTACACACACTGTAACTTTGTCTTGAAAGAACGTTACGCATCGAACTGATGTTCACAATCATGTTTATTTCCTTCTTGGTACAATTATGAAACAGCGTGAAAACGTATTCGCCTAGACCGGCATTTACAAATGTTCGCGCCTTTTTACTCTCTCACAAACATTGTAAACATCCGGGCTAGAGGTCACATGACTTCCGGTAAGAAAACTTGCCTCAACAACATTAAACAAAGTTCAAGCATACATGAAGCACTCTTCAAAACTACAAAACAATAAAGAAGGGCACTTTGAGCGGCAGCTACACACACACACACAGACACACACACACACACACACACACACACACACACACACACACACACACACACACACACACACACACACACTCAGTGTGTGTGTGTGTATATATATATATATATATATATATTTTATGCTATTTGATCCTATATTATCTTCTACTATACACCTCCATTGTGTACACTGTCTTGTCCTGGCCTGCACCCTGTCCAATGTTGACTAGTAAACACATTCCTAGTATGTTGTAAAACTACATGGCGACTAAACAGATCTTGTATCTTGCTTATTTTCCCCTCTTAGGAAAGCGGACACGGGATGCGAATTTCTTTGACACCGTCCAGGCGTTGGAGGACCGGTGTGCCGTGGTGAAAGAGTCGATGCACGGGGATCAGATGGTGCTGTTCACCAAGGCCCAGGAAACGGAGGACAAGATGCTCACCAGATGGAGCACCAGGATGAAGTGTCGGTGCAGGATGAGGGACAAACCACTTTTCAGAATGGGTTTATATTATTGTTATTACTGTTATTATATAGTCTTGATACAACTGACACTTTATTTTATATTGATAATGTTAATTTACATGTACAACTTCTATTTTATTTACATAAAAAATGTGAACTTCTATTTACTGTTATGTCTTGAGAGTGCAATAAAGAAAACCTACATGGCGATTAAACAGATCCTGTATCTTGCTTATTTCTCCTGACACTTTATCTTTAGTGACCTGTGTATTATCCTATACATCACATGTAAGTGATTATTCTGATACCATCATGTTTCATCGGTTATAAACTGGCGAAGCTTAATTTGTCATTCATTTATCATCAATGTTGCAACCTTGTGGAGGAATGGCAGGGGCACATACACAAATATGATAATTTATATCATTTTAAATATTATTTGACCTAAAACTAAATGTTTTTATGATTGTCCTCTGAGGAGGACATGGGGATTTGCAAACTTTTAATTCCCCCCCCCATTTTACACAACACAAAATGGAGTCCACTATGGGCCAAAACTAACATGTAGGTTTCCATAGTGTTTATGGCAGACGGATGCAGTGGGTCTCAGGAAGATATATAATAAATAATAAAGGTGGGTTTGCTGCTGAGCCTATTTACTGTGCATACAACACACCTGGCACAGTTTATTGTTATTATATTGCCACACTGTACACTATTGTAATGTTGCCTGTCTTGACTGGAAAATAAAAGAGAGAAACAAAAGCACTGTACAAAAGATCAGCTTTATTGTCAAAATGTTTACAATGTACAATTTACACGCTGTTCAGATGCCTCATAAGGGCTGTGCGCGTGTCTTGCCCCCCCAGCCTCGGCAATGGCTGGCCCATCAAGCTGGGTCGCCGGTAAGGCAGTCCATTCGTCCCTGTACTCATCATTACTTTCACAAAGGTTATGTAATATGCAACATGCTGCCACCTGGATTTTGATCTTGTCCATCTTGCAGTCGTTTCTTTTCATCAAGCACCGCCACCTGCCCTTCAGTCTGCCAAAAGCGTTCTCCACCACCACTCGTGCTCGGCTTGTTTTGTTATTGTACGCAAGTTGCTCAGGCTGCATTAACTCAGTTACAAAGCTGTATAACAAACAGCACAACTTCAGTCGACTCCATCTCCATCATGTCTGAGGTCGGAAGGTAAACAACAGACGCCTAATGTACAGCGAGTGGGTGGGCGTCGCAGTATACGCGGGAAGTTTTTCTTCTTCTTCTTCTCTTGTTTTGTAGCGCAGGGGTTTTCAAAGTGTGGGAAGGTGAGCCTCCCCTCAGAGAACATAAGAACAGTCGCGCCCCCCTCACAATTATTATTGCTATTATTATTATTATTATTGTTGTTGCTATAATGCAGGGGTATTATTATCCAGTGGAATGCCCTTACCTACTGGCCTAGTTAAATCAAAGTGGTTACTTATTTTTGTCTGGGCAGTGTAGTTTTACACACCATCTTATTTGACTTTCTCAGGGCAGACCCCCACAAAGAAAAAAATATATGTACACACGTAAGGTCATCATCTTAACAGTTTTTTATGCTCGAGTCATCCGTGAGCAGAGCATCAAGTTGGCATGCCTATTACGGCTGAATGCGGCGATTACCATCTTGTTCAGCAAAACGCCTCACAAAGTATTAAGATCCAAAGCTTTAGTGCGTTTTGATTCAATGCTGAGTACAGCCAAACGTGACAGTCTCTTCTCTGTCATTGTAGACCGCAAATACCTCATTCCTTCCGTGTACTTGGGTCCGAATGCTTCTCGTTTTCTGCCGCCCGTTCAATTGAAATCGCCGCCAATCACATTTCCTCGCTCGCGCCAGGGTTACAAGGCTCGCGTCTTGTGCTGCATTCACTTGCACTCGGACATCAGGGATTTTCTCTGATAAATGTCCGATGAGCCACA